TTATTTCATACAGACTCAAACAGAGACTTTTAACACTGGAAGAAACCTTTTAGATGGACATACAAACAGGAGCCTGGAAATCAAGAGACTGGAGTATGTTTCTGGTCCTGCCACTCATTGGCTAAGTAGCCTTGACAAGTCTTATGACCTCTGAATAGCAATTTCTTCATCTGCAAACTGAGGAATGAGAGATTATGATCTCTAAGGTTTCTCCCAAAACATTATCCCCTTTCATGGTCCGTCTAGTACACTATAGCTTTTGATTAATAGCTACCTAATACCCACCTTTTTATAGTGATGCTTTATGTATCGTTATACATATGTTTATATTTTAAAATAACTGCCATGTGGAAGGAACTCCTACCATTTGCAACAGCATGGATGGAGCTGGAGAGCATTATGCCAAGTGAAATAAGTCAGTCAGAGAAAGATAAATATCACATGATCTTACTCATTTATGGAATATAATGAGCAACATAAACTGATGAACAAAAACAGAGACAGAGAATCATCGATCAGACCGTGAAATCTCAGAGGGAAGGTAGGGGAGGGTGGGGATAAAGGACAGAGATCAACCAAAGTACTTGTATGCATGCATATAAGCCTAACCAATGGACACAGACAATAGGGGGGTGAGGGCATGAGTGGGCGGAGGGTATGGGGAGGCAATGGGGGGATAAGGACACATTTGTAATACCTTAATCAATAAAGGGGGAAAAATTAATAAGTAAAAAATAAAATAACTGCCATGTGGAACTAGTTTAGGACTGCCAGAATGGGAAAAGGCCACTTCTCTAGGCTTAAATTATTTTGTTAACAATTATATGGAAATCAGAGGACTCCAAATGGGTTTCATTCTTTCTTTATTCTCTATCAAATGCAATGCCAAATGGTATCCAGGTAGTCCCCACACTGCTCCATTCCTCTGCTTGAAAGCAAGATTCTCTAATCACCCAGTGACCCCTGTGGGTCTCACAGGTTGGGGGCAGACAACAGAGGAGGGGCTGTTTCTTTTGTAACTCAGTCCCTGAGGATAGTATAACCAGGAGCACATTCCGGGGGAGAGGAGAGAGGTATTCCCACCACTTTTATTTGTTTTCTTTTTTAAAAAATATATTTTATTGATTTTTTACAGAGAGGAAGGGAGAGGGATAGAGAGTTAGAAACATCGATGAGAGAGAAACATCGATCCGCTGCCTCCTGCACACCCCCTACTGGGGATGTGCCCGCAACCAAGGTACATGCCCTTGACCGGAATCGAACCCAGGACCCTTCAGTCCACAGGCTGACACTCTATCCACTGAGCCAAACCGGTTAGGGCTATTTGTTTTCTAAAATAAATAGAATCCTTGAGGACATCTCACCACAACTTTCATATTTTCTAGAAATAGAAAAGCAAGCAAGAATGTGTTACAAGCAAAGAAAGAAATGGGGAATTTCTACACATGATATGTTCTCTTTCCCTATAGTAGCTAGCCTTGAAAAGAACTAAAATTTCTTCTGGTACCAGTTTCCTGATGAGTTTGTATGAGGTCATATTGTAAACTTGGTGTAATTTTCTTGTTAAAAAGAAAAGCGTGAGCTCCCTCCAGTGGCTACATTAACAATTTTTTAAAACAATATATTTTTATTAGAAAAGTACCGAAACATTCCTGGCTTTTCCGAACATAGTCAATATCATTGGTTTCCAGTGAGAGAGACCATAACTAGAATTCACATGTTAGTTACTTACTGATTTTGAGGTAAATTTCCATTGTGGATATCTAAGACATTTTAATTTCTTAGTTTAATAAGTCACACAATTGAAGAATTGAACGAGACTAGAGATTGTTCATTCAACAACTATTAACTGATTACCTACTATTTGCCGTGAGTTGCTCCAAATGCAGAGGATAGGGAAGTGAACAAAACAAAATCCTCATTAAACTCATAATTGAATGCAGAAAGGCAATGAAGCATCCATCTTATATAAAAACTGCTGTTTGAAATTTTAACCCTGCTATTTCTGGCTTCTGTAGATGCTTGCTTGCTTAAATAATAAGGAAAATAAGACTACTCCCATTTCAGAGAGGCCATTAAACCTTCTCCAGACGAAGTTATCAGTGCTGGCGTCAGGCCAAGCCTTTGGTCGAGGTCTCAAAGCCCCAGCACACAAGGCCCTTTAAGAACTTGCAAAGGGAACCGGAAAAACCCCATATTAGGGAGACAAAGAGGGAAAGATTGTATAAATATGAGAAACTTCGTGTGTGAAGGCACCCAGATTTTGAGAGACATTTTCCTCTGGGCCCGCGCGTAATAAATGTAACTCCATCTCTCTAAGCATTGCTTGGTTCTTCTCCGGTTTTTCTGTAACAGCAATAAACAATCCCTCTAGTCTAGGCTCCTTCAATAAATAAATTTTTAATCCATTTGAATTCAGAATTTACAATTATAATAGGGTCTCCTGTGCAAAGGTGCAAAGGATATTTTCTTTTCTAGAATAATTTACTTCAGGTTAAAAATAATTTGTGGATCAGAAAAAGATAGAAATTTCCTTTGCCCACTCAAGACTAAATATAGAAATGAATATGGCATTGGTCTGGCTAATATACATTAAAAATATCACATTACACATAATATAACCATTACTTATAATTTAAAAAATGCATATTCAGTTAGTCACTCTAAATACATACATTTGTCCCTCGGTATCTATAGGGGATTGGCATAGTATTTGCATATAACCTACACACATCCTCCTGTATACTTTAAATCATCTCTTTAGTATTCATAATAACTAATACCATGTAAATTGTTATATAGCATTGCTTAGGGAATGATGACAAGAAAAAAGTCTGTACATGTCACTACAGATGGAACCATCATATGTAATTAGCTACACAGTACATATCAACAACAATGCAACTTTTTTTTCAAGTATTTTTCATCTTTGTTTGGTTGAATCCAAGGATAAGGAACCCATGGATATGAGAGGCTGACTGTATTCAGCCACTCTCAGCCTTAGTTTTTTCATCTATCAAAAAGAAAAAAAAAATCCTGCTTTCATGGTGTTGTGGGGTAAAATGGGCTCCTTAGATTAGCAGGTAAAGCCTTTCATCACCCACATGCATAACCTCACCCAACTCATTTTCTTCGTCTTTTCTGCTGCACACTCCCTTTCCAACTTTTAGTCGCACCAAATTTCTGGTTGTCCCTTAAAGCCACTAGACCAGTGGTTCTCAACCTTCTGGCCCTTTAAATACAGTTCCTCATGTTGTGACCCAACCATAAAATTATTTTCGTTGCTACTTCATAACTGTAATGTTGCTACTGTGATGAATCGTAATGTAAATATCTGATATGCAGGATGGTCTTAGGCGACCCCTGTGAAAGGGTCGTTCGACCGCCAAAGGGGTCGCGACCCACAGATTGAGAACTGCTGCTCTAGACTTTTTCAAGCCTTTGTACCCTTCTACAGGCTATTTTCTTTATTTAGAAAGCCTTCCTTTCCCTCCTGCAGAACAACTCATCTTTCGGGGTTTCAATCAAATGCTACCAAAAACTGTGAGACATTCTGATTCCTCGGCTGTTTGTCCTTTCTATTGCTTCCACTGAGCTATTATTAAAACATGTTTATTCACTTTAAATGTATTTATCTATCCGTCTCCCTTATTAATCTGTGACTTTTTTGAGGGAAAATGCCCATGTTTTATTTATTTTTGTATTCCTAGCACCTACCCTAGTGCCTGACATATGGATTGTGAATAAAAGCTGTGACATAGCCTGAGTATTTTATTCACAAGTCACATTTTGGGGACTCAAGATGAATATGCATAGAACATAAGCTTATAATTTTGACAGGAATTTTAAATTAATTCTATGAATGGTTTTGCAAATAAAATATGGATTGCATACATTTCTTAACTACACAATACTCGATTCAATGATTAATAACTAGAAGCCATTCTCCAAATGCAACTGAAAAACTAATCCTAGTTTGCACAGTGTTCTTGATTCTGTGTGTGCTCAGATGTGATTAGAGTTTCTTGGTTTTGGCTCAGTCACAGATGACCCTGACTGAAGTTGGTGTTCTGTGAAATTGCTTATTTTAAGCAAAAGAACACCAAGTTCTCTATTAATGCCGAATTTGTTACCAGCTGACAGCTGTCAGGCTACTTTTTTTCTTTCTTATCTAGTTACAATCTTGACTGCCTGGATTGAAATCCCAGCTTCCTTACCAGCTGACTTTGGGCAGTTAACTTGTCTGAGGCTGTTTCCTCATCTATAAAGTGAAGATAATTATAGAACCTTCTTTAGAGGGCTGTTCTGAGGATTAAATGAGTTAGTACACTTGAAATGCTGGAAACAGTGCCTGGCATAGGGTGAGTGATCAAGTGTATTGTATTAACAGCACCCTATCGCATACATCCATTCTCTGTATATTTATTTTTGCACTGTGAGATTGTATAAATGTATTCTCTTGGGATTACTGGGATCTGAATTTAAAGCCCTGGCTGAAGAGTACTGACAAATGTTTTAACAGTGATTGACATTTCGGTACAAATTACTTTTCATTTTAAAGTAATCAATATACAACTTTTTATCCAATCCACACCCTTTTCTCTTACCTGGGTCACGTTGAGATGAAACAACGCCAGACAAAACAAAATCGTATTAAAATTATACCGCCCCCACCCCGCCCCAATTTACGCCTCTCGCTGCTCTTTTATCCCCCTCTAGAAAAATAAGATAAGCTAGTGCTATCTACTCCCCATGGGTACTTTTAGCTTCTAACTTTAGGCTGTGGGATTAAAACACCAAACAAACTAGTAATCCTCATCTGTTTCCCAAGAGTGTGTCGGGATGATGAAATAAATTAACGTGTGTGGAAAAAAAAAACAAAAAAAACTCTGCGTTTCATAATGTCTCAGAAACGATTGATAGTAGCAGCGGTTGGCCGAGGAATAAAAGTGTCGTAAAAGCCACCGCAGAGCGTTAAGGCCGTGAAAGTAGTTTGACCCTCGGAGGCTCCCGTAGTCTAGCTCCTGGCTTGGCGTCCCACGTGCTGCTTCCGGTCCTCCCGCGCTGCACGATTCCCGGCAGGATCTGGGACGGGTGGTAATTGCCATCGGTGTAGGGTTGTTTTTTTTCCTTTTCTTTAAAACTGTCCGCCGCGGAGCTCGTCAGCAGCCAAAATGTCCAGCAGAAACAACAACAAACTGCCCAGCAACCTGCCGCAGTTACAGAACCTGATCAAGCGGGACCCGCCGGCCTACGTGGAGGAGGTGGGACTGCGCCGCGGCGACGCTAGAGGCCGAGGCGCGCCGGGTTGACACGAGTGGGGTTGGGGAGGCGTGGAGTGGAGTTGGGGATCCTGGCTGGCCGCGTGTGCTACTGTTAGGTTCTGGGGTCTGTCGGGAAGGGAGAAGGGGCTGGGAAAGGGACATGCCTCAAGGCGCGTGGTCCACCTCTTGGAACTCTGTCCCTTCGGATTTTTCTACCTGCTCTGTAGACCTCGCTGCCACGGACCTTTAAATACCTCATTTTGCTTGAGAGAGAGAGACAGATGGCGCGCTTCCAACCTCCAACTGCCATGTAGGTTTCTCTGCCTTTTCTTTTCAGAAACTCCTAACTTGAATTCATTGGTAACACTTGACGTGTCGTTTCTCAGGATGCTTGCGACCGACGTCTGTTTGCCCCGCGGTGGGTTGTGTCGCGGTGGGTTGTGTTGGGAAGGAGGTGAATTCTCACGTATAAGGGATAGACAGGGGCTTAGTCTAGTTTGTGAAATCAGGATTCAGTCGCATCGGAAGCGGGCATGACCTGGATGTCAGAATTTGCTTCGGGGAAAGATGAGGTTAAAAATTAAGGTTAGGTTCAGATTGCGAGGGACTTTATATACTGATTTCATACAAATTGTGAACATTAAGGGTGTTTGAGCCAAGAAGCGACAAAATGAAAGTGGTGATTTTGGTACTATATTAATCTGGCAGTTGTGTTCCTCAGGCACCCGTTGTCTGCGGGCGTTAGAGATCTGCTAGGCATCTGCTGCCTTTGTGCTGCTTCCTCACTAGATGGTGGTTTGTTCAATGGCTAACACAGTTACTCATCTTTTGCCCTTCTCATTTTCCTCCTCCCCCAACTTTTCACTTAGAAATGTTTAATTGAATGCTTTTTACCAAATAGCAGTTCCAGTGGTTTAGGTCACCAGTGTAGAAAGCCTTTCCAAGGAAAATAAAGAGTAAGAAACAAACACAAGAAATTAAGTAATAGGTGAGACGCTAACGATGTGTAAAGCTGTGTACACAACCATTGACAAAGTAATAGTTGTAGCTGTACAGTGCTGTGTTTAAGGACATTGTTTTCACAGCTAACTAATCCTGACCCTGCTGTTGACCAGTTGTTACTTGGAAGCATTAATCACTGAGCCTTTTTAATATGTAAGAAAGACATAATTCTTCAGAGAATTGCTCTTTCATTTACTTGGTGAATGCATATGCAAATCCACACATACTATACCTACTGTGTGTCAATACAGTTCTAGGCACTGGGGATACAGTGATCAATAAGACAGATCTGAGAGCCTTCTTCTCTTGGACTTTTGTTCTAGATGGTAGACATACAGTGGTAAGGACTATGAAGAAAGTAAATTTGTATATGAATATGCCTTGATAGTGGTGGCTGGGCTGGGCTGGGGTGGGATTGGGGAAGAAGTGGGAACAGGATCTTTCGGGAAGCACACTGAGTTCTGGGGTACTCTCCTCACTCTTGTCAATGGCAGTAGGGAGTCAAGAGAGATGGGGTCTTACCTGAAGCATGTGGGGGCTGCATGCTATCTGAAGTCCTATTCTTGGAGAAAGCTGAAGGCCTACCAGTTTTGTTGGGGAAATCAAGAGTTACGTTTTTAACCATGCTAAGTTTAAAGTGTTTGGTAGACATCCAAACAGAGACATCAGACAACTAATTGGATATATGGATTTGGAGGTCACTAACCATTTAGGGCTTGCAGTATTAAGAAATATATTCGTTCTCATAGTGTCTGTCTGTCTCTTACTCTCTCACTCTCTGGTGCACACACACTCAAAGCTGTGGTCTATGGATGAAGAGTAGATACATGGAACTAATTGATGGCTGGTGTTTCAACATTCTTAAGTTGTTGTTAAGATTAAACATAATTAAATGAGATAAAGGACACAGTGAGCTTGGCACGTAGCAAGTGATGAACAAATGGAAGCTATTATCATTATTTCGGTGTGTCTATTGTTTTTGGCTGTTAATACATCCTATCTATAACTCCAGGATAGAATCTAAATCGGTATTTAAAAGAAGAAGGGAATTTTGACTGGAGTGCTTCATGTACATAAGAAATACATAATTTACATTTTCTGACATGGTGTTTTTCTGCTGATATAAGTGCTCTGTATGCGCAGACTATGTAGTAAGGGTCATTTGGATAGTAAATGTCAGAATAGGGCCAGAACCTGAGTTTTTGACTCTTGGCTTTACTGTTCTTTACACCACACCACCTAAATTTCTAACGATAAAGGGAAGGATCTTTAGATTACTTGTGATGTACATAAAGTTTCCAAAACTTATTTTTGGAAGTGCAGGTAAGGAAAGAGTTTCTGCATACTTTTGCCACATCATTTTCTCCATGTCACTAACCAAGACTTAAATATACTGAGCAAGTCATATAATAAAAGGTGACCAACTTAAATCTTATTTTTCTACAGTTTCTACAGCAGTATAATCACTACAAATCCAATGTGGAGATTTTCCGATTACAACCAAATAAACCCAGCAAAGAACTGGCAGAGCTAGTGATGTTTATGGCACAGGTAAGAAGATAATTTCTGTGTAAAACAAAGACCAGTTATTACACATAGTTTGCAGAATATTTTTCCAGTAATATCCAACCTCATTCCATTCAGGAATGAAAGCTTCATTTAAAAAAATTTTTTCCCCCTTTTTAAAAAAATGTTTTTATTATTTTTTTAATTTTTATTTTTTTAATATATATTTTTATTGATTTCAGAGAGGAAGGGCTGAGGAAGAGAGAGAAAAATATCAATAATGAGAGAAAATCATTGATCAGCTGCCTCCCACACACCCCACATGGGGGATCAGTCCCACAACCTGGGCATGTGTCCTGACTGGAAATCGAATGGTGATCTTCTGGTTCATAGGTCGAGGCTCAACCATTGAGCCACCACGACCAGGCAATTTTTATTTTTTTAATATATTTTTTTATTGATTTCAGAGAGGAAGGGCTGAGGAAGAGAGAGAAAAATATCAATAATGAGAGGAACTCATTGATCAGCTGCCTCCCACACACCCCACATGCGGGATCAGTCCCACAACCTGGGCATGTGTCCTGACTGGAAATCGAATGGTGATCTTCTGGTTCATAGGTCGAGGCTCAACCATTGAGCCACCACGACCAGGCAATTTTCCCTCTTTGCAAATTTACTTTCTCTGTGTGGTGAGTTGGAAGATTTTGCTAGAGCTTTTCACAGAACCATCCAGAGCAAAATTTCAGACTGTTTGTTTTCTTCAAATTCATTATAAAATCAGATTCTAAATCATGTCACACATATTTTAATAAGACTAAGAGGAAATATGAAAGGAGTCAGAGAAATTTACACATAGAAGAAAAAGATATGGTTTGGAACCATCTACCTCTATGAAATAGCCTTTATTCCCCTTTTGCAGAATTTTGTAGAAAATCCGAAATACGTGCACATGAATTATAGGAGAGAAAGACAGACTTCAGAAGAGTCTTTGTTTTGTTACAGATTGGTCACTGCTACCCAGAACATTTAAGTAACTTTCCTCAAGAGTTGAAAGATCTTCTTTCCTACAACCACACTGTCTTGGATCCAGATCTTCGAATGGTAGAGCCAGTATTTGGATTGATAACTTGTGCTGTGTTCGTGTGTATTCTTATAATATGTGTTTAAATGAAAATAGCCTCTCGGCTAAACATCTTTTTAAATTATATAACAAAATGTGTCACCCCTTCCTTAAAATCCTTCTGTGGCTTCTTATTTAAACTTAGAATTAGAGGCCCGATGCACGAAATTCATGCAAGGGCCTTGGCCCCAGCCACTGCCACCACGGCCCGTGGCCTCTGCTGCCTGCCTCGGCCGGGGGCCTCTGCCTCAGCCCCCACCCGCTTCGGCTTTGTCTGGAAGGGAGGATTTCCAGAAGGACGTCCAGTCTAATTAGCACATTATGCTTTTATTATTATAGATAAAACTCAAACGCATTATCGTAGCCTGTAAGTTCTTACATGATCTGCTTCCTGCCTGTATGTGCGTGTGTGTGTGTGTGTGTGTGTGTGTGTGTGTGTATAATCTCATTGTCTTTTCAATTATACTCTTCGTTCTGATCTTTCAGCATGCTAACCCTCCCAGGGTGTTCTTTTCCCTCTTGAACAGATGATTCCTTCTAGTCATTCAAATTTCATACGCCTGAAGAACTTTAATTTCAACTTATGGTTTGTATAATGCTTAATTTAATAAATTTATCCATTAAATAGCCAGTTTGAACATTTAAATATTCTTACTCTAGTGGTTGACATTGGGTCCAGGCCAAGGTCCCTTTACCAAGCCAGTGCATCCATTTCCCCTGCCTAATGGCCCCCAGCTGCCCGTTCTCTGGAGCATTGTTCTCAGCTAAATGGGAGACTTAGTACCTGAGAGGTTGACCTTGCAGCTCACAGCTGGTACCTGACCAACCCAGTGGTATAAAACCCTGACCCTGTCCCTCAAGGTGGGTCCCACTCTCTGTTGCAGTTTGTACTCCAGGGCTTATGATTTGACTAGAGCTAGTCTCAGCCAGGGACACATCCTTGCTCAGCTTTTCTCTGCCTTATTTTACTGCCTTACTTCCCTTCTAGACAAACCACTGTAATGAATCGGGCTCTACTTCTAGGGAACTCAGCCTTTGGCATTTTAAAATTGTATACATCAGCTTTCCAAACACCTTTATAGCAAGTAGAACTTACATAAATATTATGATTACAAAACATTGATATCTTATACAAAAATTTGTAAAAATGCTAAGTCCATATGTTTAACTCTGTTTATACTTCTCTAAGATTTTATTAATTTGATTAGGCCCAAACAAAAAAGAATGTCATCTCAGACAAACCAAGGTTGCAGGTTTAGGGTTGTCAACTGGTTAACCCTCAGGGTCATAGGACCTGACAGCACAGGAGGCTTCAAACTCCAACCATTAGTCAGAAGCCTTTTACTTAACTCATGGAGCTTTTCAAGTTCCTCTGGGTTGTACAGATTTGAGATTTTGAGCATGGAGACTCAGTGTCTTTCCAAGTAATTAGGTTTTCTTTCTTTAAGTTTTGTGTGGCTAATAGTATCAAACCAAACTGGTCTGCAAGCATCCTATATAATAAAAGCTTAATATGCAAATTGTCCCTTCGACCTGGAGTTCGACCAGGGGGCAAGGCCGGCCGGCCAACTGCCTGCGGCCCCTCCCCCCAGCCCCATCAGGATGGGCCAGCTAGACCCCACCAGTGCATGAATTCGTGCATCGGGCCTCTAGTTATTAAATAAACAAATGTGTGTGTATGTTTCTTTATAGTATTTTATGATGATTAGTAGGTTTTTAAAACACAAATTAAAATTTTTCTTTGCTAAGAAACAAGGGATTGAATCTGTGTAATTAGCATTCCTTTTTAGAAGAATCATTTAGAACATACTGATGGATCCTCTTTTTATTTGGCTATTGTGATGGCCACCTTCAAACTGTCACCACCTGTCCGGTGGGAGCTTCTTCTTTCAGCAATACCCCTGATGTTTTTATTTATTTACTTATTTATTTTTTAATATATTTTATTGATTTTTTACAGAGAGGAAGGGAGAGAGATAGAGTTAGAAACATCAATGAGAGAGAAACATCGATCAGCTGAGGATGTGCCCGCAACCAAGGCACATGCCCTTGACCGGAATCGAACCTGGGACCTTTCAGTCCGCAGGCCGACGCTCTATCCACTGAGCCAAACCGGTTTCGGCAACCCCCCTGATGTTTTTAAAGCATCCTTGCATTCTGGCAGAAATAGTTCCAAACCCTTTCTTACTGTTTGTCCTGCCCCAAGACTTAGAGTCAGCTATTTTCCAAGGATTATTTGTTCCATCCAATGGAGAAGAGAATTAGAGGAAAAATTTGAGTGATAAGGGTACTCATAAAAGTTGGTGGTAAGCAAGAGTACTGCAACTTTTGTTGTAGTACTAACAATACTTCAAAAGAATGCCTTGTAAGGTCACAAATTCAGATTGATTATTCCAGTTTAGTGTATGATGTTATTGTTGTTAACCCACTTTTCTTATCTTTGTGGATTCATTGATTACTGGGGTTTTGTCAGATGCTGACCTCCCTGTGTAAAGCAGCCATAATGTGTCAGTTACATATATTACCTTGTTTTACTTCCTTTGTGACATTTATTATCTGAGATACTCCTGTTCATGTGCTTCTTGCTTGTTTGTCTGTCCTCTCTTCTGCTACACCCCCCAGTGTGTAAGGCCCATGAGGGCAGAGACTCTTTGTTCTGATGCCTGATTAATAGGCTCTTTTGTGATTTACATGCTCCATTTTCTTAACTTTATCATTATCTTATAGTATATTTTCTTTTCCTTCCTGAGACATTTTGCAAAGCTTTGATCTTGCTGAGAAATAAGAATCTCATCAATCCATCAAGTTTACTAGAACTGTTCTTTGAACTTCTGCGTTGCCATGATAAGCTTCTGCGAAAGGTAAAGAGCAAAATTGCTTTTTTCATATATCTCATTTTTCCTTGCAGTAACTTAAAACTTGTAGAGTGAAGTCTTGATGCTTCACATTATTGGATATAGTTAAGAATAATTTTAATAGGAAAAAAATCCACCATTTTTTGCATGTAATATGATGGTAATAGCTAAACATTTATTGAATGCTTACTTTTTGTCAGGTACCATTCTCAGAGCTTTTTAAATATTTATTTGTTTACTTGCTTAATGATACAGGATTTATTAGTAGTAGTAGTGATAGTAGTAGTAGTATTTTATAGGTGAAAAGGCTGAGATAGAGTAACATGCCCAGAGTCACACAGATTCTGAGTGTTGGAGCAGGAATATAAACCCAGGCAGTCTGGCTCCAGAACCCAAGCCCTTTTCTCTGCACTATACTGACTAAATCAGAGCGTGGACTAAACACTCATAGCCATAACTGCCCCAGCCTCAGCCCCCGAGAGACTCACTTTTTTGTTATTACTGTTTTCCTATGACTTTGAATTTGCTTACATAAGTAAGATCAGAAGCTGAAGGTTTATAAAAGAAATGTAAGCAAGAAAAATTTAAGTTCACATTCATTAACTTAATAATTTTTTTCAAAGTGTTTAGAAACTGCCACCATTTGATGTTAGCAATTGTACTTCTTGGTCTAACCTGTGGGATAAAAGTTGTTTATAGGAACATGTTTTGGGCACCAATGATACTTGTATTGCCAATATGATCTTGCATGGAGTTAGGGGCTCAGAAAATGGAGCAACTATAATTCATACACAATTCATCCATTTAAATGGACTATTCAGTGATTTTTAGTATACTCACAGATTTTGCAAGTATCACAACAATCAATTTTAGAACATTTTTATCACCTTCAAAAGAAATGCCATTCCCATGAGCAATTATTCCCCATGCCCCCATCTCTCCCAATCCCTAGGCAACCACCCATCTATTTTTGGTCTTTTTGATTTGCCTACTCTGGATATTTCATATAAATGGACTCATACAGTATGTAGCTTTTTGTGTCTGGCTTCTTAGCTTAATGTTTACAAGGTTTATCCATGTTGTAGCATATATTAGTATTTCTTCTTTTTTGTTGTTGTTGCCAAATACTATTCCATTGTATGATTATACCACATTCATAGGTTATTGGACACTTGGGTTGTTTTCACTTTTGGACTATTTAAGAGTAGAATTATTGGGTGATATGGTAACTCCATGATTAACCTTTTCAGGGCAGTTTTCCTTTTGCATTTTAGCTGCAGCTTTTTATTTTGTTTTTGGTCTCTTTTGTGATAAAATGTAAAGTAGATAATATTAAATCCTCTTGTACATTTGTACTTTTCTCCAAATTAAGCAAAGTTTGAAATGTTGGTTAATATATATATGTTTTTGTTTCTTTTCCTCAGACTTTATACACGCATATTGTGACTGATATCAAGAATATAAATGCAAAACACAAGAACAATAAAGTGAATGTAGTAAGTACCCTTTTGTTTTCCTTGTTGCAGCATTGTACCATCAGTGTATTAAGGCTTCTTTCTCCTCTTTTTCTTTAGGTGTTGCAGAATTTCATGTACACCATGCTGAGAGACAGCAATGCAACTGCAGCTAAGATATCCTTGGATGTGATGATTGAACTCTACAGAAGAAACATCTGGTAATATATATGTATTTGTTGCTTGAGAAATAGAATCTTTTGTTCATTTGTAATTACTACATAGCACATGCACAATTATTTTTCTTGATCTTGAGTAAGAATGGAAGTAAATATGCAGAGGTAGCAACACTAGTTACCATTTGTTGAGCACATACACCTTATATTACACTAGGGATCCAGTGCACGAATTCGTGCACCTTGAAAGGAACTGTAGGCTGCGAGGCTGCGGTGGGCACAGGGGCGGGTCTCAGCCCATCCTCCATGCCCCCGCCCAGCCCCCCCACCGTGGTCCTGGTCCCCTATCTGCTGGCAGCCCCGCTCCCACTGCCTGACTGCGCTGGCCCTGCTTGCACCTGCTGATGGCGCAGAGCGATTGGGTGCGAGCAGCTGCTGCTGCCCCGATCGCCCCTCAGGAGGAGGGGGAAGTGGGGAAGCCCTCAGAGGTGATCAGGGCTGGCAGCTGCTGCTCACACTCACTGACGATGCAGAGCGATTGGGGGCCGGCGCTGGTAGCTGGTGTGAGTGGCAACTCTGGTGCCAGCAGCGGGCACGAGCAGGGCTGGCGCTGGCAGCAGGTGCAAGCGCCTTGTGGGACCCCGGTGCACGGGAACAAAGAATTTTCAGTAACCATCAGAGGCTCGCCCTGATGACAGTGACCAGCGCCCCGCCTTGGTCTGGCACCCCCACTCACCTGCTCCACCATCCCACCGCAGCCAACACCCGCCATGTTCTGCATGCGCCCCCCACGCCCCCACCCCCGTGGTCAGCACATGTCGTAGCAACTGGTTGTTTGGTTGTTCCGCCATTCGGTCTATTTGCATATTAGGGTTTTATATATATATATAGATTGTTCTTCCTTCAGAACAAAGTAATGCAGCTTATCTGGAATTATTCACATTTGATAGGTATTGACACTAAAGTTCATAGAGTTTAATTTTAGTAACTAATAAAGAGCAGAGCTAAAATTCAAACCCAGATCTGTCTTGACTCTGAAATCTGTGCTCTTTCTACTTTGCCACTCTGGCAATTTTCAAGTCAGTTTATCCTATTTTTGTAAAATGTCATGTTTTATGAACTTTGGTTTATTGATATAGTGCCTCCAACTCATGTGTTTTGCTTTTCTTATTTATTTACTTACTATAAAAGTAGTAATATTCATTGCAACAGAAAATTTGAAGAAGCCAGAAAAGTCTTTTTAAAATATTATTGATAGTCTCACCACCCAGAGATAGTCACTGTTAATAATTTATATTTCCTCCTGTCTTTTCTTTAGCATGAATTTTTACTGTTAGAATTTTGTTACATTAATAGTTTTTTATTTGTTTCACTTCTCTTCAATGGGCTCCTGTGCCATTAAAATTTTCCTAAGGGCATCTTTTTGTGTTTTTTTTTTGTTGTTGTTGTTTTTTCGAGAGGAAGGGGAAGAGAGAGAAGCATCGATTCGTTGTTCCACTTTTTATGCTTTCATTAGTTGATTCTTGTATGTCAAGCATGTCAAACTCAAAGGCTAACATGGGCCAAATAAACAAGGTTTAAGTTTATGTGAGTTGCAAAAAAAACAGAAGCTTCAATTTTCATAGAAATGTAGGTTTATTTCAATAGAGACATGCTAAATACAAAGGGCTGAAATAAATGAGTAATTGTTAACATAAAATAATAGAACATTTTAATAAAAAATAATTTTTTCTTTGAACATTAACTTACCAGACACTGAATAACTGTACAAATTAATAAGC